ATGCAACGGTGACCATCTGTATTGGTGACCAGAGTGGTTTTTGTGGCGGAATTTCTACAGTACAGCAGCCATAGAAGCTTAGGGTGCTGATCAGCAGAAAATCTTTGAAGGCTTTAACACTTCTTCTTGAAGCTTGTTAGGTCTATGCAGGAGTCCTGCCAGGTGCCATGCACTTCATGGGAGATTCTGTGGGCTGTTGCTTTCCTCGAGCCTCGCTGTTATAACCTGAAGGCACCTGCCTTTTCCTGGAGCCACGGCAAACTTCGGGAACGCTGCCCTTACAAGCCTAGATCTGTGGGCCCCGGGGCGGCACGCTGGCTCCTCAGCCGCTGGCGCAGCTGCTAAGGAGCAAGCAAGGCTCTTTAAATAGCTGGGTACGAAGCTCCGTTAGGGAAAGGAGGAGCTGCTTTGTGGTTCCCACAGGCAAGCTGTGAGGTTGTCTGTGGGGACAGCTAGACACAGGGAAATGGTGACTGTTACTAGCGCTGTGACTGTATCCTTGACGGATATGAAAATGTTTACCCAAAAGTGACAGAAACTTTCGGGATTTCTATGCATCTAAACAGTGATTAGACAAGTGGTCGAAGCTGCAACCCAGAGGATTTCTTGCGTAGAGGATTGATGGAGATAAACAAATTAGGAATTTTCCTTCTCCTCTGAGAGTTGAGAGAAGCCGAATTTAATTAGTTTTAAGTCACTTCTACCGGGAAACTGCAAACAAAAGTGCTTTCTTAAGCCGAGGATACAGAAGATCTAATTCAGGTCTTTGTTGGTAAGAAGGCTCATTTTATGAAGAACCAAAGCTTTCAAGGCTCTATTCAAACAAGTTAAAATGCCATTTTGAGCAAGACAATTTCTTTCAGCTTCTGGAGCGGAGCATAGACAGTCACATACACGCCTGAGCACTGAGAGGAGGATTGGTATAGCCTAGCTATGAGCGGTACACCTGCATCACAAAAAGTACATAAGCCCACTGCCAGCATAAATAGTGCTGACCAAAAATTGTGCCATGAATAGAAAGAAAACAAAGGTCACTCTACGCTGTGGCTTTTCTCAGGATCCAGGTATGAGGGAAACAATTCAAGAGGAGAGCAGAACTTCACCGTAGCTCTTTGGCAGCGGAGTGCGAAGACATCCACTCGGACACGTTTTCCAATTGCAGTAGGGTCCAGAAATGGCCCCTCAATAAAACAGATCATGAATTTGTTTGATGAGGAGGAACTGCTGTGCGCAAGAAAACATGAAGTAGGTGTGAGGGGCGGGAAATGAATTGGTGAAACTGGTGGTAAACTGGGATATAATGAAAGGTAAAAGGTAATCAGGTTTTGAAAACTTGGTGGTTTGCCACAGTTCATGACATCCTATGAGATGGCATGTCTATACATTTTGTGGATCTCAAATTGTTGTCATATGTTTTTCAGTGGCAACAACAGATCCAGTCCACTGTCTCCTGCCCTTGCAGCCCCCAGACTAAGCTGAGGACTAGAGAAAATCAAACCAGTATACTTCCAGGGTATAAAAACCATCCAGTACCAGTACCTGCTACACAAAAGCTTCCTTGTGTGTTTCAATATGCAAAGCAATGCCAAGGCTTTACTGTTTGATATAAATTGATACCCTGATTTTGCCATAAAGGAGTTTTCCATGTTACAAAGCCTTACAAAAGTGAACATCATGAATTGCTCAAGCCAAGTCAACGGAGTTATTCTGTGAAAGGTATATATTGGGGGTGCCTGAGGGTGCTTTTACTGAATATGTTCTTAAATGTTAATGGTTACATGGCATAAAATTTAACTGATGGATATGATTTTGTGCTATGATAGTTACTTGGAGGCTTTGGCTAATGAATTTTAAATGGACAAATTAAAATTCATTAAATATTGACACTGGGAATAAGATATGCAAGCTAAGAATCTCCGGCTGCTTATCATGGGGGTTCAGAAAGTTAATGGAGCCCTGCAGGTTATTTTCTGAGGTTTATAAAGAACTGCCTGGCCCACTTGCTGAATGCTTCAGCAGAGACCAAGCGAAGTATTTCCCCATGCTTTTAGTAATGAGACTGCTATTGGTTTACTCAGGTTTGGTAGAAGATGAGAAGGAGGCAAATAATTTTTCTTACCTGAAAAAGGTGAATTACCCCATGAAATGACAATGTGGCAATAGTACATAGAGACTGTGATAATTCTTAAAACCTATTGCAGTCTATTGCACTCGCTCTTCGCTGTAGGTGTAATTATTTTCTGTGATATGCATTTAAACTGCCCAAATTTCCAGGACTTTGACAATTTGCATTAGGTAAGCTTATCTCCTGCTGAAGAAAGAGGCACTTCGAAATCATTAACTATGTGTTGGTGAGTACAACCTTTGCCATTATGTGCACTGTTTAAGTTTAATGCTTTCCATCAGACACACCTTTTTCCTTTCCTGACTATACAGTGTGAACTGAGGGCTGTGTTCGAATCCCTCGCTCCTCTCGGATTAACTTGCCACAGTCTAACTCCGTAGATAAGGTGGTGCCAGAGGTGGAGTTGGACGGATGGGTTTGCTTACACTGTAGTCCGTAAAAGAAACAAAAGGCCTTGCATGCAAGAAAAGAAAAATGAAGAAAGTAAATGACTGAAAGAAGTAAAATTAAAAACAAACATGAGAATGAGATTCGAAATCTATTTAAATCAAAAGAGATTCTATTTATGGAAACAGAAAAGTAATAGATTGTATTTGACTCATGCTTTGGATTAGCTTAGTGATAATATGTGCTGTACAGCGTTTTCCACCTAAGCTTCTTATATCACCAGAATAAAAATAAAACAAAATGAGAAAAATCAGAAAGTAACACTGGAATCACTGGTATTCTACTTTCTGTAAAATTACTTCTGGAAAAGAAGTGTGATGTTACCACATTAACTCACTTAAAGATTTTAATTAGTAAGAGACTGCCTACAACAAGCAATACAGTGCTGTGAAACAGTAGTACAGTCTCAGAAACGGTATATGTACATATGCATATATGTATCCCTGAATACGATGTTACTCACTGAATATATTACTCAGTAAATTAACACTCTGTCATGATGCAAACCTTTAGGTCTACTTGAATTATGGTTTCAGGAATGCATTGCCTTTCCCAGACTCCTGAAGATTTTCCAGGATATTCTGCACCATATTAGCATTTATACTAAACATTTTAATTAACGGCGACTATTCTCCAGAACATATTTGAACGAGGGAACTCCCGAGACGTGAATGAAACAAAGCTACCGACACGTGCCTCGCGCGTCTTGTGCTGAAACCGTTCTGTGGGGTTAAAGTACTAACCAGAAGGCTGCAATGTGGGCAGGACACGTTCACCTTTCTTGTCTCTGGTTTATTCCAAAACAGGAGCAGCCTGATTAATAAGGTCTGCAAAATTGCTCCACGTGAGCTGTGTCTGTTGTTTGCAGGTGGTGCCGATGCCTTTAGCGAGGGCTTGCGCAGGCACGCACCGAGACGTCTGCACGGTCAGGAGCTGCCTCCTCCCGCAGGATACTGCGAGGACCAAGGCCACTGACACTGGCATTGGGTGTCATGGACCCGGAATACCCTCAGGTGTCGTTTGGAAAACAAAGATGCGTGGCAGGGTTCAGCTCGCTTCCTTTCAGCTGCCTGAGCAGCAAGCGTGTAGCCTTAACTTATGGTGATCCTTTACCGGCAGCAAGGAGGTAGAGGTGGTTTGTCCTACCCAAAATCAGACGTTGTCCTCTAGAGGCACTCAGGCTGCCTGTTTTTGCTCAGGTGTCAATCCCTCCCGTGTCCCAGCACCGTTGCTCTATCTGCTGTAAACTTCACCTCTGAGATAAATGTTCTCCTTCCCCTCCCACTCCTCCCTGTTGCCTTCGTTAAGGTTATTTTTCTCGACAGTAATTTCTGGCATTTATATCATCAGCCTCACGGGATTACACCTTGGACGAAGAGGATGAGTTGCCCACGGAAAAGCGCCTGCCTTTCCCATCTAGAAGTGCAAAGTGAGCTTAAACAACCCACTCAGAAGCAGATGCCTCTTGTCTAGGAACCTAAAGCTGGGTGATACGAAGCCGCCCCTTGGGGATTGCCTCCGGGGCCCCTGATCCTGCAGTGCAATGTGACCCACATCCCTGCAAGCGCTGTTGAAGTGAAGAGGGTCAGAGCACCTAAAGCAGCTGAGCCAAACAGGGCCACCTCAGGGTCTGGGAGGTGGCCAGAACCGAGCTGCACTGGGGAAGGCAGCCGGCGTGAGAGGGTTGGCGGACAACTTCATGAACGGACGCTGAGTCGCTACTCATGTCTTGTTTCTTTCACAGCAGTTGGCAGTTTGGTAAATGGGTGTTTACACTCCATTTTAATGATTGATTCTATCTCACAAACTGCTGTAATATTCAAGGCATGATTTATACACAGCATTTCCTTTGTTTTCCCTCTGCCCTTTCAAATTTCTCATTGCGCTTCAGCGGAGCTATAACCAGAATTTCTTTGTCTTCATCATCTTACTTTACTGTGGCATCCACCACCTTTCAGTAGGTCTCCCTGCTTTGAAGTGCATGCTTCAGCACAGTGTATAAACCCCTGGCTGTGAAAAAAATGTTTTCTAGAGCAAGAGAAAAACTACACTTGGGGATTTGGAAGTACATTCCTGTTGTTACTCAAAGGGTGGATGCTAATGCCATATAAAAAGAAAAAATCCAGTTGTGTTTTATTCCTTTCCAACATAATTTATACTTGAAGTCTTAAAGATCGAGCAGAAACTGTCTGAGAAATTAATTGCTCTTGTTATGCATTGCCATACTAAACAGCACTAATTGGACTGTGGGTGAGGTACATCCCTGTACTTATTAATAAATTATTTGTCTTTAGTGCCAGAAACGCACGGTTACAGTTCAGCAATACAAAATCTGCACTCCAGCAAAGAGACTTATCATGTAGTCACCTCCACATCCACAAACCTCAGCCTCCCAGAAACATGAGCAAGCTGGAAATGGATGACTCACCTGCTCAATATCGCTGTTTTTCCTCGATTTATATATAAATTCACCAATGGCTACAAACACCGAAAGAACAAGCCCTGCAGCGAGCACTATGAAGATGCCCCCAATATTCTCCACCCCAAGGGCACTGGCTTCTTTGCTGTCCTCCTCGGGGCAGCCGTTGCCTCGCCACCACTTCTCCTTCATCATGTGCAGCTTTCCCTCTTCCTGCAGCTGGAGGATGGCGATGGTGATCTTGTCTCTGTAAGGAGACCCTGCAAGGCGAGAGCAAGACCTGTCGGTGCTGGTGCAGCGAAGGGAAGGCAGGGAGGGCGCAAGCTGCTCCCATCTGAAGTAGAAGTGTTCCCTTATCACTTGACTCATTGCTCCAGCTAGAAAGTGTTGGTTTCTTTTTGGCTGGAAGGGGGAAGAGAACTATTTGTTGGTGTCTGCCCTGGGGACTGGAAAGCAGAAGGCTGCTTTGGTGTGGTTATTTGTTTGAGAATTCATTATAATTTCTAGGGTCTCCTACGGAGATTTGTTTAAGCCTTGGCAGTGGGTTTTCTTGCTAAGTAATTCCTCCATATCATGTTTGAATATTGCTTTGAGCATCCTTTGAGACTTTCTGCTTTGCATCTTTTCTATTTACTTCCAAATCTGTTTATTTTTCCTACTGCATGTAAAATAAGTAGCTGTCCAAGAAGAGCACACAGTCCATCCGATGCATTCTCTTCCCATTTACACCTGCATAAGCACAACCACACACCACAACTCCGCTTCAGCTACCTCACAGCTTGTAAGAACACAAGGCAGTCCAGCCTTTTTTTCCGTCACTTGCAACAACATTGGCACCGCAAGCTGAAAACAGCAACTATTTTCATGCTTTTTATTTTCAGGCCAACAGCTTGCTAAATGATGTGTCTTCGGGCTCAGCAGCATTAATGGGCCTGTACAGTATCTGGCAAATAGCGGGGCCACGTTAGGCGGTTCAATCTGTTTAGGTTTGCCTCTCACGCGCTCTGCTCTGGCTCTCCAGCTTCCAAAATCTCTGCTGCCTGGAAGTCCCTTCAGCCAACCCGTGCTGTTGCAGAAGCACAAGCCTGTAGCCCTAACGGGGGACAAGGGAGAGGCTTGCCGCTCGCCCCGCTTCTGGATGGAGCAGCCCCTAGTTAGAGCAAATTACGGCCAATTAACTCTTCCCGTGTTGCCGGAAGCTGGAGTTATCAATAATAATCCTCTTATTAATTATAATAGACGAGCTGAAGTTGGTTTTGGCGTTGTGAGAGAGACATTTCTTTATGGGGCGAGGATTTTATAATGGCAAGCAGGAGAGGGTTACAAGAAAGGCTGTTTGGCTCTAAAGGCATATATGTGCCCCCAAACCCTGCCACATCGGGCTTCCTCCAGCTGGAAGCGTTTAGTGTCTGGACTGCAACACAGTCAGCGTTGCCAGTCCTTTGTCCGTGTAGCTAACTACCATCCGTCCTTCCCTCTCCTTTAGTGCATTAGTAAGACTATTTTCTTAAGCTGTGATTTCAGCAAAGGTCACATTTTGCTGCAAATTAATACAGCTGCAATTCTCAAGCTGATCAAGGTAAACAAACTTTAAAATAGAACATGTGCCAATATTTCACTGGTAGCGTGGAGCACATAGACGCGGCTACTTAAGAAAATCTCACTGGGCGCCATTTTCGTGTCTTTATGCATCTAAATAGCCTTGGAAATCTGGCCTCGCAGCTTTAGTTTTCTTTCTTATATTGCTGTGCAGGATATTATTAAAAATAATTGTACCATGAATACAAGTCCCCCTGTCTGCTTTCCATTTCCTTTAGCGTGCAGCATTGTCTGAGGAAAATCACTGTGAAAACCATTGCAGTTCTTCATTTGTTGTGCCAACACTCAGCTATTTTTCAGTGTATCTTACTGCCAGCACTAGGACATGCTGTGATCACAGATGCCAAGAGACCTGTGTCAGAATATACAAAGTCCATCTGGAAAGCCAGCAATGAGCAGCTAGTGCTAGAGGTAGCCAGCTTGGAAGGGAAAACATGCCTGCTGTAAGAATAGGTGATTTCCGTGCATGCTTTTAAATAATCAAAAATAAGCACAACAGAAAACAAAACAGCAGCACCTTCAAAACTGACTTTACACAGCGAAGTGAATTATTACCGCTGAAACCGGCAATGCCTCTCAGAAGAAAGAGAAGAATTGTTTCTACCTCAGGAGAGGTTCGTTGCCCTGATAGCTGGAGTCTGTTAGATTGTAGGACTAATCTATTTTCCCTTGTCTGAAAGGACATAGCTGTTAGGTAAAGTGAAGCAGCCTGAGTCACAGCGCAGGATTTGTGGGGATGTTCATTCTTTCTTGTGATGTTTATGTTGCCAGCAGGATCATCACAATTCATCTTGAGGGTAACAGGTACATCTATATTTCTGCGCCTGCTTTTAAAGTTTGTCAAGTGTGCCTGAAGTGTTGGATTGGTGATGTTTTATTGGTGAGCACTAAAACTGCACACAAATCCATCTCAACACCTCTTTGAATACTCAGCATATCATTTATGGCATCTGAAGTATTAACAACCTACGTCTCAGGCCAAGAAAGGAATCTATCTACTTTCTTAGCAGTCTCCCAAGTAACTGTTAATAGCTTTAGTGTTAGAATTACTAGCATCAGCACTGGCAGTGATACTGGAATTAATACCTGTCCTGACACCTACAATAATCACAGAATCACAGAATCACTGAAGTTGGAAAGGACCTTCAAGATCATCAAGTCCAACCGTTAACCCAACACCACCATGCCCCCTAAACCATGTCCTGAAGTGCCAGGTCTACACATTTTTTGAACACCTCCAGGGATGGTGACTCCACCACCTCTGTGGGCAGCCGGTTCTAATGCTTGACCACCATCTCAGCAAAGAAATTTTTCCTCATATCCAGTCTAAACCTCCCGTGGTGCAACTTGAGGCCATTTCCTCTCGTCCTATCACTAGTTACTTGGGAGAAGAGTCCAACACCCACCTCACCACAACCCCCTTTCAGGTAGTTGTAGAGAGCAATAAGGTCTCCCCTCAGCCTCCTCTTCTCCAGACTGAACAACCCCAGTTCCCTCAGCCGCTCCTCATAAGACTTGTGCTCCAGACCCCTCACCAGCTTCGTTGCCCTTCTCTGGACACGCTCCAGCACCTCAATGTCCTTCTTGTAGTGAGGGGCCCAAAACTGAACACAGGATTCAAGGTGCGGCCTCACCAGTGCCGAGTACAGGGGCATGATCACTTCCCTGCTCCTGCTGGCCACACTACTTCTGATACAGGCCAGGACGCTGTTGGCCTTCTTGGCCACCTGGGCACACTGCTGGCTTATATTCAGCCGGCTGTCAACCAGCACCCCCAGGTCCCTTTCTGCTGGGCATCTCCCCAGTCACTCCTCCCCAAGCCTGTAGCGTTGCATGGGGTTGTTGTGACCCAAGTGCAGGACCTGGCACTTGGCCTTATTAAACCTCATAATGTTGCTTTCTTCAACCAGATTCCTCCCAGGGTGACATTTTGCATAGGTTTTGCTCAGAGGTGCTTTTGTTACCGCAGTACCAGAGTGCGTTAAGTTCACCACCAACCATCGCTGCAGATTTTTCACTAGTAACGGTCTTTGCCATTTTGATTTGCCAATCTTTGCCAGATTCTATCTGAGGAAAACCCTCCTCTTTGTGACCCACAGGCTCTGTAACAAACATAAATGGAGATGTTTGCTGGTATGCCTAGGTGTCTAACCTTACTCAGCACAAAGGAGTAGGAAGAGAGTCTATATCTACAGTTTTTTACTTGCAGAAGTTGCTCTGGTAAATAAAATAGTACATTTCCTGGATTCATAGAAGAACTTTCAAAAATTCTCCTTCCTGTTTCTTTGGGAGCCAAATGGTGACAGTATTCAGCTCATTTACTGGAAAGGCTGGAGTGTGAAGCATACTTTTGCTGCGGCGAACCCTAGCCATGTGGTTGTGTATTCTCCTGAAGGAGCAAATGCAGACTACTTAAAACTTGATGAAACTGGTGTTAAGGGTCACAGACAAGTTTGTTTGGTTTTTTGTTTGTTTGTTTGTTTTTTCTCTACAGCTTCTGCAATCAATAGTCCTGAATGCTATGAGAAAAATAACAGCCTTCAGGGTCCATCTGAATAGTGGAAGGATCATGGCTCATCATGTTTATGAAATCAGTCTTTAAAAATTTAAGATGCTTGATGGCACTGAATTATTCCACAGTGCTTGAAGATATCTATTCCCCTGAATTTTGATGGGTTTCCTTAAGAAAAAAAGTAAGGTACATTTATCATACAAGAAACATCTTATAAATATATTTCACAGCTGTATTTCCAATGGGTGCGCTCCCTCTGAGGATTACCATCTGTTCTAATTATTACTTCATTGTTCTTGGTTTAAAGTGTGGCAGCTTTATAACTGCAATGAAACTCTTGCCACACATTTGTCTTTATTCAGGATTTTAGCTTTTGTATCATTTTCCTCAGGGTGAGGAGGCCGTTCTCACATTGCCAGTGGAAAAATATGCTTAAAATGTTATCTATATGACAATCTGTCTGAGGTACTTGGTAGCAGAGAATCACAGTTCAAAGTGCAGTGGTTTCTCCCTTATTTACATCTGGTCTACCAAGCAACCAATGGACCAAACATTTCACCTGTTATACCTGTGTAAGCTGATACTGCCCTGAATAATTTCCCTGAAGACAAGAAAATTGCACAGCTATTAACTGAGCGTGGCATGGTAAATGCATATGTGAGCAGCATCATGAAGTATATTATACAGGAAAAAGATCTGGCTGTCCAGTGCCAATTATTCACAAGAACCCAGCACAAAAAACCTGACACTTTTTCTAATTCTCTACAGTCAGAAAATCTTGAAAAGGACACTGAATATGCTCAAAAGAGAATACCCAGTTTGGGATGCATGGGATGCTCCAGAAGGCGAACAGATCACTCGACCTTGTTCTGCAGATGTAGCCTGCACGGCTCTATTCCCTCTTGCTTGCAGAGACTGCTTGCAAATGAGCGGGTGAAGAGTAGATGTTTTGCCTAAAAGGAGGCTCCTAAGGTCTGTTTTGATGAGAAACGTTTCTAAAAGACTAGGACATGAATCAAATGGCCATCTAAACTTCTGAAGGGGACATTGCTGGGTGTGCTCCACAACACCTGTGCTGGAAAAGATCTTACCAATAGGGGTTCCCACGCCGTAGCCTTTTGAATCGATGAGCCCCCCGATCTGGGTGAGATTGCAGTTTCTCTGTGTCACGTACTCTATGCTGGTTGACTCCATGAGCAGCGCATAGTCCGTTGTGAGCACGCGCTGGATTCCCTCATCGTTGTTCTTCACCAATGCAGTCTGCTGCCTGCTGCTCATGAACGCCCACATCTTCTCATATGTCGATATTTTGGATTTCTAAGGAGGGAAAACGAGGGCACAGAATCACACCAGCACCCAAATTACACTTGTAAAATGTTCCCTAGCCTTTTGTTGTGACCGACGCCAGTAGCACATCTTGAACGAAAGAGAATTGGTAGCAGGGTTTTCATTCCAGCAGCCTTTCTCTCTTACTGTGTTTTATGCTGAGGAATCTCTTTTTTTTGCTTTCTTCGCAGTGCCAGAACTTCATTACTGGCACAACTGTGAAGTGCTTTGAAGTTTTTTGGGCTAATGCTGTTACATGGATTACAGCACATAACCCAGCTAAATTAGTGCAGCTGGATGCTGTTGCAACTCGGAAGCAGTGCGTCTGCCTGTCAGGGCAAACACACCGCTCCAAACGCCTGGTGATGAACAAAGTGCTGCCTCTTTTGTATAGGTATCACTTGCCTAGAAGTCATGTACATCAAGGGTGAAGCTTGAGAAACAAACCCAAAGTGACTTCTCAGCAGACTTCTGCTTTCTGCTTTCCATTGCAATCCTACTTTAAGGACTCCATCCTTCTCCCACTGAACGTAAGGGGGATTTTGCCACCGACCTCAGTAGGAGTGTGTACGTGTCCTGTGTCAATGCCCAGCTGCACGTGGAAGAGGGATGCCAGAAGCCCCAGCCACCTCCAGACAGTGTTGAACATCCCTTCCTCCCCGCTCCTTTCCCTGCGGTGTGGGAGCCCCGCGGGACCTGGGCACCCCGCAGGGAAAGGCAGCGCCCATGCCCCCTTGTTCGCACTTTTGCCTTCATTGGAGGATATTAAAAGAAAAACTGAACCTGCTCGGGGGTGTGCTGGAGCCCTATGCCTGCTAACCTGAAGATGTGCTACCTACAAACCAAAACAACCTTCAAGCGCTCGCACAGTACTAACATGATTAAATCTCTCTCTTCTTTCTATGCTCTCAAACAGCATTGAGCTTTTGGATTAGATAACAAGGTAGACCTATAGACAGATGGACCGCTAGAAATTGCCCATAGAAACCATTTTCTCTCAAGATGGCAAAGCCAACTGTTGCTGTTGCTGCAGCCTAGCACAAGCCAGACGCACACAAATTGAGTTTTTAATGTAAATACGAGCTGAAGGTCCTCCACACACTTACATTTCCCCCCTTCTGGGCCAGTGTATCCTCACTTCCTTCGTGAGCCCTAGCTTTGGATTGTAGCCACCACAGATGATTTTAGGCTCACTGTGTGGAGACTGTATGTGCTTATTAAACAGCAGTGTCTGTGGGAAGGTGATTTGCTGGTTCTTTGAGCTTCAAATGTTAATATGGTTTACCTGTAAATTCAATACCTGTGAATGCCACCTAAATTTCACCTGTTTGGTAAGCCACAGGATACCACTAAACTTTGAAGACGGTTAAGTGTCCCTTTACTAGTAGAAGCCATTTTTACCGCTCAATTGGGAATATTTTTTTAAATTGATGATAAGATTATGCAGTAGATTGAGTCTGATATTGAAATTACTGTGAGGATGTATTCCTTATTCAGATTAGTTTGAAAGGAAAACCTTAGCTTCTCAACTTGCCAACTCCCATTTTTTTCGGGATAGGTCATATGCCAAATTCTGGCCTTTGAATTTTCATTGATTTCAGCAGAAACATGTCTGCGCATCAGAAGATAGGAGCTGGCAAGAGTTGCAACCTGAGATTGAGATCTATTAACACAGCAGGGCAAGAAAGCAATGGAAGATTTATAGCCATGTTGGAAACCAAGCAGGACAGCAGTCTGGAGAAATATGCCTATGTCACAATTAGTAGATGAGAAACATCTTGCCTTCAGTTACACTCTTTCCAACTTTTGCCATGC